TCGATCAGTTTATGGGTAGCTTTCATTTTTTTTCTTCTTCTCCTCTGTATTTCTTAATTGTTTTTCTCCGATTGATTCAAGTTTTTTTTTGGTCTTTTTTTTATCTGAATTGAAATTAGATGATGATAAGGTCTGCCCTGTTTTTACTGTGGTTAGAAGCTTCAATCTCCTGGAATTTTATTTGATTTTGTTCTTCGATCATCAATTTTTCTAGTGATGTAGAAAAATAATAATTTAAATTATGAGATTGTGTAAAATTGTTGGTCATTTGATTCAAATTTAACATAATTATACGATGAAGTTAAAAAAGGGTGTAGATACAACACTAACAACAAGCTAAGCCGGGTAGATAACAATTAATTATAATATGTATTTTTCATTTATTTTTGGTTTTTGAATATATATAAACATGAAATATTTGTTAATGGGGTAGAGGGAGCGGGGGGGTACCTAGGTCTGTGTTCATGCTATAAGTGCGGGGTTCATAGGCTGGGAGCAGCTCTACGAACTCTGCATCACCCATCCACAGTTTCTTCAGACTTTATTTAACTGCATTAATAAGTTGCAGAGGTTCGAATAAAGCTTATTTACTCTTTCTATGAAATTAGAAAGGGTTGGTTTCATTGGATCATGTATATATATATTTTTTTATTAGGGTGTTTGTTGCCTATAAAATCTATGGTATATAGGCACGTTAATCGGAAGGCTGAGGGAAAATTGCTTGGATGTGAGCTGAAGTTGTTGGTCAATTGGTGCTTGTTTGGAAAATATTTTGGGAGTTGGGTTATTTTGTTTAAATTTTGGTTTGGGAGTGCTGCTGTGGTTCTCATGGAGATTTATATAAGAAAATATAATAGAAATTAGAGTGGAGCTGATCAGGGCTTCGGTCAATTCAGGCTAAATCCGAAACGCTTTACGTAAACCCGGTTCAAACCGGCATGTGAACTGATGGACCAAATCAGTAGTTAAGGTCGGTGGACAATTTTGATTTTAAAATAACCGTTTGCTGATTGATTTATTTATTTATTTATTTTTGGCTAAGAGAGCACTCGAATGCAACATCTTGGGACAACACATTCATATTTATCCTTAAGATTTAGCATTCAAATATATGACATTTTATTTTAGTTTCATGTTTCCTAAGGTTATAAATCATGTTGATAATGTAGATCTAATGTTTCAATGCTCTGTAAACATACTTATAACCTCTTTAGATATCTGTGAGAATAGGGCTATAAGATTTATATCTCTGCAGCCTCTATAATATCAAAATCATAATTTTTAATTATTTGGTCATCCTTATCAGAAAATAAGTTTAATTATATTACCTAAAATTGGGTATTTGTTCTTTCTAACTATAAAGATATGAATCTCATATATAGGCTAAATTATTATATTTATATATGTAGTGTGCATTATTATTAAGGCTTTTCTACTAAATTCAAATATCCACACTTTAATTTTCAGATTTCCCACACATTAAAGATATTAGTCCTAACTTTGGATATCATTGCTATATTATATTCAAAATTGAAAAGCACATTACTTAAGTGTCTTCAATATATAAAACTAGATTATTTAGATGGGTTGCCATTAATGCATAAAACATATATGACCATGCCCCGCACATGAGCTTTTCATGCTTACCTATAATGCTACAAGACATACTTAAGCATTTTAGGCCCTTTTTTTAGTGTTAAATAATATTTTCAATTTTATTCTTTTCTATCAAAATCTTGTAATTCTCTTCCTCTATGGAATTCCTAATAAGTTTAGATATATATGCTTCAAACATTAGATTTCCCTTTGATGTTTTCTTATTTAAAAAAAAAAATTATCAATTTACTTCTATTTATTCTTCCAAGACTCCATCACTATTATTATATCACATTAGATTTAAAGATTGCATGTCTTGTACATAAACTCAATGAAAAATAAATTAAATTGAACAATCATTTAATGTTTAATGCATAACTCAAATTAAAATTAGGAAACAAACTAGAACATAACCATAAACCCAAAGTTGAACACAAGTAGTTCATGCTTTCGCTAACAAAAATACAAACAAAAGAAACTTCTAATCTAGAATTCATAAAAAATAAATAGTTGTAGAGAATAAATTATGTTTAATTGAAAATAAAACTCTTTGACTTTTTTTTTCTCCTTTGTGCTCTTTAAGATGCTCACACTCTAAGTTTATTTATACAAACATTAACTTCACTCTCAAAGTCCCTCTAATATCCCTATATTTACAGGGTGTACTTTTCTCCTCATAATTAAATGTGAAAGAAATCGTAAGATTAATCATGAATTACTAATTATTATAGCCAAACATCTGGCTTAGGATATATAATAAAGGGTTTGGAGGAAGGATAGGATTACCAAATTATAAGTACTCAAATGATGTACTTATTGATAACATAATAAAACTCCACCACCACCTTTTTGGTTCTTTAGTTTTGGTGGCCAACCTTTTAAGTAAGGTTCAACTATGGATAATATTAAGGTACCAAAATTAAGAAGTAGGTTTATGTTTGTAGTTTTAACTTCAAGGGGGGATGATGAAGATAGGTTTGTAATGGTTTGATATATAAAAAAATAATATTATATTATGTCAAATTATATGTGCAAATATAATAATAATATAAGTCGCCAGATAAGATAATTTTTTTTAATTTTATTTAATCTCATACTTTTTTAAAGTTGTTGGTATTAGATTAATTTAAATGTTTAAATTATTCTTGCTAGAGATTTAATGAATTATGTTTAAATATTTGAATTATGGCATAAAACTTTTTTTGAGGTTAAAAGTTATAATTTTATAATATCACTTTTAGAAAAATTTTATTTGTTTTAGAATGTTTGTCATTTCCAATTTTTATGTATTATTCATGATCATATAAAATTTTGGTTTTGTTTCTTTATCATAAACTTGATTTTAAATTGTATATTAATTAATTTAGGATAGTTACTTTATTTTAAAATATTTTAGTAGCATATAGTTATTCTTCATATCTTTCATTAATTACACTAATAACTCTGCTAATGTTACTCATATTGTTTAAAATGCTTAGTTTATTTTTTAAAAAAAATGAACTCCATAAAACATAGATTATAGAATTTAGAATCATGATTTAGTTCTCCATAAAACATAAAATAAATTATTTTTTAGAGCATGATATAATTTTTTTTTAATTTTCATATAATTTTAATTTTAATTACATTTTTCAATTAGAGATCATTAATTCTCTCGCATGAAAATACATATACCTTTTTTACAAATTATCTCATTTAGAATTTAAAATCAAGATTTAGTTCTCCATAATACATAAAATAATTTATTTTTGAAAGCATGATATATATATATATATATATATATATATATATATAGACACACACACACACACACACAC